ACATAGAGGCCACAAGGTCTTCTTTCACGTGGGTATACAGGATCGACAACTCGTCGTAATACCGGGTATCCACTACTTCGATGCCCATCGGTTGCACCCGGACCTCTTGGCCACATTGGATCGCCAGTTTGATCCAGGGTCCATGAAACTTGCAAGCCCCGAGGGTGCAGGAGACACAGTGAATGACCCCTCCTCGGATGAGGAAGCAGCCTCTACCGATGACGAGAGTGATCCAGAAGACCCTACAGTTGCGTGGTGCCCACCCATACCTGATGCAGCTGAGGATCCCTCTGAAGACGAGATCGTGAGTGCAGCTGACCAGCTAGCAATCCTGATTGCTAATGTCCAACCTAACGGAAACCCTTTTTGCATACCCGAAAACCTTGGGATTCTCCCGCCGCTGTGGCTACAGGCGAGATTGACGTTGTCTTTGACTGCCATCCAAGAAAAGTTTGCGCGCATCTTGCTGAGTGTGGCCTGTGAACTGTGGTTGCGCGGGCAAATTGCCAGTGTGGAGGATGTCCTCCTGCAGACGGCAAGGGCTCTCACAATTCGATTGGCAGAGAAGCTTGCCCAGGCGATGAGCACGTTGATGAGATTAGCTGAGTCCATGGTGACTCCAGAAACTGAATGCCTGTTGTATGCCACGTACTGGTTTCGGCCCATCCTGTCTGAACTCATTGGCTCGGCCCGAGAGAGCTCTGAGATGAACCGGAGTCGAGCGCCGAGTGGCCCAGTAAAAGTCCTGGTCACAGATCGGCCGCATCGACGCACTACTGGGCTAGTGGACCTTACGAGTGGTGCCTCTGCCCTATTGGCATGGTTCCCGGCTAGCTGGGCCAGCAAAATTGCTCCCAAACTTCTCGAGAATGCTCCTGAGAATGCGCAGAAACCACAAGAAATTAACATCGCGTGCCCGAAACGTTCCTGTGACGAGACTCCAGTGGAGGGAGCAAAGCAGCTGCTCCAAGCAGTGAAATTTGCTGCCAAAACCATGCCTGGTTTTCGCCTTGGATTGGATGAAGACTTTCAAATGGCTGGATGTTTCCAGGAGCTCATCCATGGATACACCTCAGGGCTCGTTGAACCATACATGATGCGAGGTCTCCAACCACTGGGACCGAATCGCACTACTCTGGAAGTGATCATACCCTCTCAAGAAGGGCTTACACCTGAAAAGTGGAAAGAAACAGCCACACTGTGCCCACTTGATTGGCCTTCCAACTACAGTCTTTTGCGATTGTGGCATACCAATGGGAGCCTTCATCAAACGGAAGCGCGACTCAGGACTCAACTGTCGCACAGCCATATGTTTGCTGAGTGGACAGTGCATCTCCACAGATTTGCAGAGCGTGTTTTATTCCAGCAACCTGCAGTTTATGTAGCGGGACATGCCTTACAAGCCAATCTGCGGGAACGAAACTTCCCAGACAGGAAAGTCCGCAGGAGGGTTCCTCCGGAAGATTTGGACGAACATCAAAGGGCGATCCGAGCGCTTCATCAGCGAGCTATTGCTCAGCAAGGAGTGAACCCAGTTTCGTTTGTGCTCACCAACGAATGTAACGACACCATTACATCAGATAAAAAGCATTATTTGGAACATTTCACGAGAGGTACGACATGATCCCCCGCTCACCCCTGTTCGCATCACTTATACCATTTATGTGTCCACCCCTTCTCTCCCTTCCCCCTGTGTCTCATTTCTGTTTCACTCCGCATTGTCCCTCACACAATATTTGGCTTTTGTTTCATCAATCACGGAAGTGGGAGTTAACTTCAATCTCTATTTGGTCTTTCGTCACTTCTACTTAAGGTTACTGCCCATGCTGGTGTGTCTGTCCAAAGACGTGACAGGTGCACTGGTATGCAGTAGGGGATACAGCTCTTCCTCATTTATAATTATCAGGTTCATCATGCCACATGCCTGGCCCCTACCGATTCAGACCTCCAACAGCTGGTAGCCACACTCATTTGTTGTTATGTGTGAGTGATAGCCTAGGCATAACAAACCGAGCAGCATGCTTTCCCCTTGCACTAGTGCTTAGAATGTGTTGTCCAGTCGAGAGCTTAGATTATACTAAGGCCTTCTCACACCATGAAGCCTATTGCATGAGCGCACGCTCTCGTAGCCGTTGCCTGACAATCATAGATGGGTGATGGAACTGTTGTCGTTATCCCCAGACGTAATACTGACGAGACTACCCCTCTCCCACTCTTCCCACTAGTTAAGGTACGTGAATTCGTCGTCTAACCCCTGGTTTTTGCCCTTAGCAGAGCCACAGTAGGCGTAGTGCCTCGGTTTTTGATTCTGTTTTTGATGTTTAGGTCCCTGCCTGCCGTGGCCCTCCCTCCCCCTCGGATGGTCCTCGTTGGCGCCTTGGCCCAGGTTTTACTGGTCCCTCCCTCTGGGTATCGTTGCTTTCGGCGACGGCCTGGTTGCCGTGCCTCTGTGCGTGGAGTGTTTGTTGCGCATTGCCTCCCCTCTTCATTCTGTCTCATGGCAACAAAGGCCTTTGGCCCTGTGTGGGGATCTTTCCCTCTACACCATGCTTCCTGTGTTGTTGGGGTGCTGTGTGCTCCCTCACTGAGGTATTCATCATCGTATGATCCTTGGCCCCTTCTTGGACTCCGCTAAGGCACGTTCGTATCCCTTCTAGTGCGTGTGTGTCCTTTCTCTCTCTGTCCTCTGCTGCCTCCTGGCTCCTCTCCTCGTTTCTTCTGTGTGGCTTGTGGTGTTGCATGGGTTGTACTTTGGCCGCTCCCCCCTCTTTGCTTCCCCCATGATGGCAGGTTTCTCGTTGGTTGGTCGCGTGGTGTTTGCTTCCTCTGTTGCCTGGATACCGAGGTTACCGCTCTGCATAATAGCTCTGTCTTTTCACCATGGCTACATTGATCTCATATGGTAGTTACTAAGGATTCGTCCGAGGTGGGGCAGTTTTTGTTCATCGTCCCCCCCTTGTTTCCCCTTTGAATTCGTTTTGTGTTTGATTTTAATTTGTCATGTGGCTTCCTCTTTGGCTGTATTGGGAAGGGCCCTTCTCTCTCTGTTTTGTTCCTGCGTATTTTTCGAGAGGGGCGGTAGATTCCCGGTAGAGCCATGGACTAGGCTGCACTGCAGTGAGCTCTACTGGCGCTGTCCAGTTGTGCTTCCTGCAGTTCAGCCTGGAGCGCCCGAGTGCAGCAAAGCCTGCCCACATGGTTCGTTGTGAGGATTTTCTGTATTGCTCTGGCATATGGCCCACTCGGTGGGAGAGTGGCCTGGTCTGGAATATACAGCTGACTTACCGTGCATCTGGTCCTCTCCGCAGAACTTGCTGGGACGATGACGCCTAGTGACTCCTGTCTGAGTATCTGGTGCTGGAGCAGCGAACCACTTCATCCTTCTTAGTTTCGGGGAACAAGTTTGACACCAATGCGAATGCGACTTTTGCATACATAGCGGCAGTATCATACTGGAAGTGCTCACGAGCCCATGCTATGGTCGGAAGCATCATCTGTCTGTCATGGCCGTATTGTGCCGGTCAGGCCTTTCGCCACCTTTTCACCCACGGCCTTAGGGTCTTGGGCCCAAGTCTTATGACGGTTCCTGCAAGTGCCCTCACCATTTTGCAGGCTGTCAGTGCTCTCCTCCCCATCTAGGGGGGGAAATAGATTACAGTCCCTTGCGGTGGTGTATACTGACAGGAACAGACTGCCTTGCATACGCTGAACGATACAGGGTGAACAGCAGCGATGCGGAAGTTGCTATATTGACAAGACGTTCATACAGGCGGCCTCTGTCGAGCTACACATCAGTCTGCCTGCAATACTGGACTCGCTTCTCTGTTCTCAGGTAAGACAGTCTGGGCAATCAGGTACTATACTTCATGCACCGCCGCAATTAATTAGTTTGCATGTTTTTGAGGATGATACAGTGGCTAAGGTCACTGTATCCAAGGCAAATCTGAGAGTTTTTTGTTTTTGGTTCTTGTTGGGCCCTGCCCCGTTCTTTGTTGCTTCGCTGTTTTGCTTTGTGGCGAAACGCAAATCTGGCTGGGGGATTTGCGGGTCGTTTTTGGTTGTGGTTTTGTTTTGTTTGGTTTGTTTCTCGTCATGATTTGCCAGAGATTTTGGACCACACGTGTCCTGTACACTACTGCTTTTCACTGCTTACGCAATTGTAAGGACCGTGCCTAGTGCGAATCGGCCAAACCGGAGGAAAAAAAATGGGCAGTAGGGAGCTGGAGGCTCGCTTGCTGACCGCAAAAGACACAGGCAGTCTCGCAAGTCTTGGGCCAGGGTGTGTGGTCATTGTTGCAATTAGGGGCTTCCACTGGCGTCCAAAGGCTCTGAAGCAGCAATACTTGCGTCTTGGTAAGACTGCGCTTTTGCGGGACATGTGGTTTGGCGACTATTTTACTCCCTCTAACGAAATCGCAGCCTGTGGGGGTGTGTCCATAGCGGGGGTGCCTCATCGACTCCTGTGTTGCCCGCAAGGTTCAACTGGCGTTTTACAGCCAGATCCTTCAACATGCTCAAACACCCAGGGCCAGTGTCTTGAGACTTCCCAGACGACCAACCCTAAAACCCTAAAACCTTAAACCCTAAAACCCTAAAACCTAACCCCTGAAAACTTTGAATCCTAAACCAGAAAACACAGCGTATACGCAGTATTTTCTGCAATCTCTCCTATCATATTCGACAACACGACATCCTCAATGTTAGTGTCTGGGCAACACACGGTGTTTGTGAGTCATTAGACGTATGTAACATCATGTACAGTAAACTATTTTTGTATATATTTACATTAGTGCACACATATATACATATATATATATATATATATAATTAAATTATATCTATAATATAATACGTATATATATATATATATCTATTATATATATAAATTAGATAATATCTATTATATGTTTATGATTAATTTAGACGTCTTTCTTTTAACAAAGAGCGAAAGTGTGCTCTGACGTCGCATCGAAGACGCACAAACCTCGGGAGGAGCTGCGATGCCGAGCCTTGCCTTTGGATGAAGTTCTGGAAGCGCAGGCAGAATCCACTGAGTACAGTGATATATATATATATATATTTTTTTTTAATATGCAATATATATATATGTATACATGTATATATATGTATATATATATATATATATATATGCAATTTTATCATGGTTAATAAATGTTAGACTCATTTTCCATACTCCAAGAAGTTCACTGTCCTCCGGATCTTAGCCACATTGAAAACAACTGATTGATCGGTTCTTACCCTCTGGTAATTTAACAGTTGGCTATTGAAAATGACCATAGAAATAGATATTTATAGTGGATTTTCCCATTAAACATGGTGATTTTCCATAGTTATGTTTAATTACCAGAGGGTATATCCCGTAGATGGTCAAGGTGTGGGTCAAGACAAGATTCGACTTCCATAAAAAATGCAAAAATGCCGGCGCCAATGCTGGCACCAGGTTCCACGTGGAGTGTGGAAATGCAACAAGTGCAAGCGCTACAATCCCCCTGCCAAGTCTAGAACCAATGGATCTCAGAGACAGAATCAAGCCTTTGCACTCAGTATGTTCCACATTGCTCCGCTTCGCTTTTCGGCGTCAGTTTTTGGTGGCTTTGTGCTGAATTTGATTCAAGAAGACAACCTAATTAATTGGTCTTGTGGTTTTGTGCTGCACAATCACTTATTTTCCATTCAATAACACGGGGTCACTGCAGAGGGCATTGGAGAAAGTAGATCAAATGAGTGGCAAGTTTTCATTAGTGATATGTTTGTTATTTTGATAATTTTGATAGTTTCATTTTGGCTGGCAACACTTCAAGCTCTCCCTTTTTTGGTGATATTTTTGGGTGTGGACAGCCTTCGGTGAACTTCGGTGCTGTTGCTGTACCCCAACTCCACTGAAAGGCGCCTAGAGAAACCCTTGTGCTATTGCGGAGTGGTCCGGCCCAGCAGCGCAGCGAGACCCAAGGATGACAAGGTGCTGTGATGGGATTAAGGGGGACACTAATAGAGAGTACTGATTTATGCCACTGCCACTTTTGTGTGCATAGATCATCATAAATCATCATAAATCATCATAAATCATCATAAACATCATAATCATCATAAATCATGATAAATCATGATAAATCATGATAAAGCATCATTTTTCTCATGATAAAATAAATAATTCATGCAGTATTCGAAAGATCTCTACCGCAGTCAATTCGAAAGATCATCGAAGTATCCCATGGTATCTCCCTTCCATCCAAGTTCTTCCACTTGTGACTGAAAATAGGGTAGCTATCGAAACCATTGAATTCATGAAGTCACACTTCTCCACGATCCAATAAGTCCCAGACAAACTTGTGGGTGCTTCCATTTTGATAGCTATCAAAATCCTACCCAAATGATCCTAAATTATACCTAAATCAAATATTTATATGCAATATAATCCACAATTTGGATCCAATGATCCTAAATATACCTAAATCATCTTTAATCCAAAGTGAAACATCCACGATTCCATCCACAATTCCATCAGAATTCCATGATTCCGCCAGGATGACGAGCATCCTGGATTAACGGTGGTCGTGGCGGACAGCTTCCAGGAGAGGGGCTTGCTGCTGGAAAGTAGGCTTTCCTCATGTGAACTTGTATGGGTATGGATCAATACCTATTAATACCATTTTTAATGGGATGAACATCCATTTACCAGCTATTTTGGGGTTCACTAGGTGCCAGGGTTTTGACCAATAGCCGTATCCTTAATGGTCATAATCAAATAGGATGTTTAAAATGGAGCCCTGAGCCAGAAAAAATACCTAAATATTCAGCTGTAAAATGCACTCCTTTAGAACAATGGTAGTCATTAGGTTCACAATGTGGCAAATTCCAAGAAGAAATTCCACCCTAGAAGAGAAAACGGGATTTTTATCTCCACTTTTTTCAGCATTAGCTGCAACAGAAGTAATGTATTAGTCATATAAAAAAGGCAAAGTCTGACAGTGGAAATTCGTTCAGGTCATACGAGTCATAAACTATCCAGTTATCCTTCTCATAAACAAGAGCGTTATCCTTCTTTTTGTGTGGCAAACATCATGAACATTTGATATAATGTCAACCCCGGATTAATAAACCATGGTTTATTAATTAGGGGGGTACTCCCCCAATAGTCATTAAACAGCCTAGGGGTTTATTAATCCAGGGTTGACATTATATATATATACATCGTTTTGAAACCTAGGGATACACTACTGTCATGTTTCCATTGGAAATTGTGGTGGTACTTTGTAAACCACATTCGCCTTTGAAAAAAATGAATCGTCTTTGAAACACAACCTTAATTCATCTACAAGGCCTATTTCAGTTTGAAAATTAAGGAAACTCCCTGGTGTTTTCAAACAGGTGTGGAAGTACATAACAATGTTGAATGAGTTTGAGCTGCACAGCGCAGCAGTTGACCAAAGAGAATGCAGCACATTGAGCTAAAGGCAAAATTGCAAACAATATCAGGCAATGCAGTTGTTTTCACTTGCTTTCATTGCCCAAAGAGAAATATCTGTATATAGTCTATGAAGTTGTATGCCTGTGCTACATTCCCAGCAGACAATGCTTTGAAGATATGTTCTTCAAAGAAATGCAATTTTCCTTACAAAGCGTCCACTTCAACCCAAGAGTTGTTGTTATTTACAAGCTGGTGGTTGCTTTGAGCTAGTCAAATGTTTTTTTTTCAGGAAGAAATATTTTTGTGAAGGTCGGATTTCTTTTAAGAACAATATGTGTTATCTGCGATGTGTATTGCGTTCTAAAGTGCAATATTGATGTCTTTCCTTTATTAAATAATGGTAACATTCCTTCAGGCAGATGCTGTTTTCTTCAAAGATTGAATACTTAACTAAAAAAAATGCAATCGTATGTAACAAAATGAACAGCTTAGTTTAAATAACAGAAACAATATTGTGTCAAAATATGCACTGTGGCCTTTAAAGATGTAACATTCCTCTCAAAGAAGCTCAGGTGACCTGTATGTTTCAAAGTAGCACCATTTCTTTAAAAAATGTCACACCCCTTGCAAAGAAACCCAGCTGCAATTTGTTTCGAAGGAACAACATTGAAGGAAATGTTTTACTCACCAAAATTGAATCAGCTGCATCTTTTGAAAGTTACATCATGATTTGAACATATGTAACAATCCTTTCAATCACACCATTTCTGTGTAAATATGTCTGTTACTCCTGTCTTTCAGAACTCCTGAAGACAAGTGGCCAATGTCCCAACTATCACACCATGGCCTCAACAAAGGCACCTCTAGATTTGGATCATCCTCTGCTGAGCGTGAACAGCGTGATGTGATCATAACTGCACAGAGGGGTTGTTAGAAAATGAGTATCAGGCCGCTGTTGTCGTACAGCAAAATTTAGATGGTTAGTAGATAGCAAGACTACTAATATACTTAGTACTATATTTTGTAGATAATAGTATAAATGTATATATACTTTATACAAACTAAAAATTCGTCTATAGTTAGTTATCTTCATATGCGCACGATTTGTCATGACGTCAGCAGTCTGGGAGTTGCCGAAAGGGCCTTCTGGTTGAACGAAAACATCTTCTCCAGTTTGTGTTTGTACAACACCAGGAATACAGTCTTTTTGTATCTTTTTGCAATATGGGTAAAACAATCATGTTTATCATCCCCCAGAAAAATCACCATTATTTCAAATAGGTGGTATAAAATTAGGTATGTTTACCATTTCCAGTGGTGGTAAACATTTTACCATGTTTTACCCACATCTGTTTGTACCGACCAGCGAGTCCAGCAGAGGAGCTGGTGATTGACAGCGAGCGACATGTTTTCTTGGATGTCTATGCGGACTGGTGTGGACCATGCCTCCAGGTGGGGATTTTTTGGATACCCTCTGGTAATTTAACGGTTGGCTATTGAAAATGGCCATTTATAGTGTGTTTTCCCATGAATAGCATGGTGATTTTCCATAGTTATGTAAACGTTTACCAGAGGGTAACTCGGAGATATATCTGGTGACAGCGGACGAAAAAATAGCAACGCGCAACGCCTTTCAGGCAAAGCCACATTTTCACAAGTTGGTGGGAAGCTCAGGGAAGTGTTGCGGGAGTGTTGAGATATGTTGGTTGATTGTTGTTTCTACAGCGAAAAGGGAGCAGAATCTTGTGGATGTTGAATCACATTGAATCACCATGATCCTTGGAGGTATAGATGCTGTACTTGTGACAAGTGCTGATGAGTCATTATATCTATATATATATATAGATAGATAGATAGATAATTTATCCGACAATCATGAGTTAGACCAGTGATGATGGTTTTTACTGGAAACAAGACTGACAATTCTACTGATCCTGGCGCTGCTTTTTCATATTGGTGGCACTGGCGATCATGGTGATAGCTGGCAGAACCCAATGCTGACATGCTGGGAAAATCATGGGAAAATCATCGAACGAAATCTGGTATATTTTCCAGCCATGTTTCATTGCCAGAGGGCAAGGAAAACCACTATTTTCTGCCAATGTTCCATTGATATTCCATTACCCTCTGGTAAACTAACATAACTATGGAAAATCATAATTTTTAATGGGAAAATCCACTATTTCTATGGCCATTTTCAATAGCTATGTTAGTCATAACCAGAGGGTAACAATCCATGAATTATTCCCATCTCCTTTCAGATCCCATCAATGGTCATCTATGATCTTTCCATAGCCTTTCCGCGCCGGCTAAGGCTGCTTTGCTCCGTGCCTGTGATGACATTGGCATTTGCGGTGCGCAGCCCAGCATTTTTAGCGTCGCCGATGTCTTGGGAGCCTGCTGTTCGAAACCGAAGCCACCCGTTTCTGTAGGAACATAGTCAAGGATATCATTGGTTTAAGGGAAAATCTTAACCGGATTGATCGGGCTTTCCGGTTAAAATTTTCCCATGATCCAATTCTATGAGGATAAGATTGCAAATTTCAGCAGTAAATGTGAATATACTTCCATGATGTGCAATTTTCATGTATAAAAAAAATGATTATGAACGTAGGGATTCCTAAAGTGGAGAGACCAGGAAAATAAAGAGCCGTGGCTGCATCATCAGGCCACCACGTGGTGAATACATCGACGTGACTGTTCCACTTGAGCTCGTGTGTACCACGAAAGTGGGGATTCTTGCAACTATGTTGGTTGGTTTTTCCATATATGGAGTTAGGTCACTTGAGTGAATATCTCCCAATCACCAGCCATGAAGGACTCATACATTGTAAGGCTTCCTACTATGGGATGGATGACCATACCATATATACAATCTTTTGACCACGGCACATATCAGGTAGCCCCAAATTTGATGATTTTAATATATGTGTAGTATATATATATATATGTATATACACACACACTATATTCTTAAGATCATGTCCCCCCATATTGCTGCCTTGACTTTTTTCTACCACGAATTATCCTTTGCCGCAGCACTTGCAGTGAACAGCGGCTGGCCCTTAAGAAACACGGTCCCCGGTCCCGTCGGCGCTGAATAACTTGCGATGGCCTTGCAGTACCATCAAACATTCATCCACTTCCAGGAGGGGTACAGTGATGAAACCATGGATGTACCCGGCCTGGTAATGACTAACATAACTATGGAAAATCACAATTTTTCATGGGAAATTTCACTATAAATAGTGATGTTATGGAAAGATCCACCATGCTATTCATGGGAAAATTCACTATAAATAGTGATTTCCCATACTTATGTTAAATTACCAGAGGGTAACACACCGCGCTTATTCGAGGACAAGCTGATGGCAACATATGGCAAGATGATGTATTACATGACTCTAGGATACGTAACAATGACAAGCTGGATGACAGCACAAAAAAATCGGTCGGTTTTTTTCGTCACATATGACGTTGGCACACCCTACAAGGCATCAGATGGAGATCATCCGCCAATAGAGCACATCATAGATGTCCCAAATTCCCATTGCTTGGTTGATTAATAGTTTGTTGAAACCCCTTTAACAACAGGTTTCTATGATGATAGATGATATACCAGCATTATACCAGCTCCCGGCCCCTCTATTTTTACCATTTTAGGACATTATTGGAGCACATGACAAAAATACACGGCCCTAGCTTGCAGATCGTCGCAGAAAGATGCACCAGCAAAATCCTGCACCAGTTGATAGGTGGTTTATCCCATCAACTGGATGGATTATTTATAATATATATATATATAATATAACACTAATATCCACCCAGTTGATGGGATATATTAGATTATTAATCTTATCTATATGATATATTAATAGTTTATATATAACAATATATAATATCCATTCGATTATTAATAATATAAATCCCTGATATGGTGGATAGGGTTTCAACATGTTTCAACCATCCAAGGTGGTGCAGGATTTCTTCCATCCACAGTAGGATTGCCCTGGACGTAACTGCATTGCGCATTGTTTTCCAATGCGGAATGCTGAGGGCATTCCGTTGCAATGTACCAATAACACATATAAAAAAACATATTTCACCACAGACCTTTCAATTATTTTCCATTCCATTTCATGATAATGATATCGTAATTAATGTCCTGAAATGATAATGGTATCGTAATTAATGATAATGATAATGATATCATTACATACCATAGGTATTCTCCATTTCATGATATCGTAAGCCCGACGTAAAGTGTGACAGTCAGATGCCAACTGTGAAAATCCAGACCATTGGGACCATTGGTCCCATGGATAGCTTGAGGAGGAGGGCCCAAAGAAGCGCAGTTCCAGTTTGCCACCATCGTTTGGCCGTCATCACCTCAAGATTGCCGGCCAAATTCATTGATTGTCCATTTCAGAAATTGATTGTCCATTTCGGGAATGCTTATATGTATGATGCAGCCTCCCAGAACCCCCCCCAAAGGGTATGGGTATATAGGTATAGGGCTATGGGTATACAGGAGCTATGTTCCCCGCCCCCCCCCCGTGGGTGGGTGGGGGGGTGTAGTAGTAGTTAGTTGTAGTGAGTAGTAGTTAGTTGTAGTGAGTAGTAGTTAGTAGTAGGAATGGGTATGGATATACAGGAGCTATGTTCCCCGCCCCCCCTGTATATATATATATATATGTAATGTAATGTAATGTAACGTAACGTAACGTAACGGTTGGCTTTTGAACCTCCACCTAATGCGTCAATGATGTCAATGTGGCTAGTGAAATTCTGTTCATGTTGTTTCTACATCTTCTTGGTTGTACCTGCCAGAGATGATTCTCTTCACCACCGTTCTAGTGGATGGGCAGCCGCTGGAGGGATACGGGCTGTGGTCATATGCGACAAACGTATGCGGTACGGGCGGTACAGGCAGCACGCGTCGGGATGGAGTCTTGGTACAGAGTGTAGCTTGGGTTGGCAGCATCAGGTCAGGTGAGTTGGGAAACAATGTTTAGATTTGTTGAGATTTGTTGAGACGGAGTATTCTTTGGAGAGGGGTGGAATGTTGCCATTCGGAAAAGGTCGGAGGGAGTCGTTCGTTTGGCGGTTGGGGGTCCAAAGGAGACTTAGGGACATGGGCCACATGGGCCACATGGCTTCAGATCGCAAGGGTCGCCGCAGTGAGTGACCTTGCCTGCATTTGTAGCAGCCAAGCATTGTAGAGTCTGTGGGTGTGCTGTAGACTGTTGACGGAATGCAGTTGCGAGTGGCAAAGATGGGTGGGATGGCTGTCGCTAAGAAATCGTTTACTTCCGGGCTTGCCGGCTACAGAAGCTTTTTCCTCAGATGTTTTCTTCATTTGCAGGGTTGAATACTGTTGAATTGCCCCAGGCAGCGATGAATCTGAAGAAGCAAAGTACGTGGGCGGATTGCTCCACAAAACCGGAGAGACCTTTGAGTGGCCCATTGATCAGGGGAACCAATCCAAGGGCAGCCTCGGGCATCCTGAAGTCTCTTGGATCTTGTCAGAGGTGTTTTTTCCTGTGCAATCTCCTTAAGTTTGGTGCCTCGAATCAACACCTTTGCGACTAGCAACCTGCCTTCAAGACTAAGGCTCTTCAAATCTATAATAGTCATCCCCAAATAGATGGAAAAGTAAATCGCCAGGATTTATTTTTCCATCTATTTGGGGATGACTATATTCAATCTAGGGTCATTCTGTGCAGTTCATAGGCCATAGGTATCCAATGGTATCCAAGCCTTTCTTTTAGTAGTCAGCGAATGTCAGCGATGACCACAGATTTTAGCCGTTTGGGAGCTAGGTCACACTGCAGCCAGACTCCTCAGCAAATTGGACAAAAACTGATAATTGACTCAAGCCATCTCAAGCCTTAAGCCTCGTCATTTGATGTCATTTTCAGATCCACCCTAGCAGCCTGGCACTTTGGTCATCGTCCAACACCACTTTCAGACACATGATCCTCATGAGCCTCATGGGGGCTGAGGTTTGCGGCCGTTTTTGCATCCGTTTCTTCTATGGCAATTGCCGGCAAGGGCAGAATTGTGAGTTTTGCCACCTAACGCATCGTGAGCCGAAAGTGAAGATGGACAAGGTCGGAGAGTCGGACCACCTGTCGCATCTGATGCTGTGAATGCTGTGAATGCGTCATCGGTTGAAAAACCCGACAGTCGTGAGCCTTTTAAGGCACAGCGGCAACTGATTGAAATGCTGGGAGAGGCAGAGGCGAATCTGGGAAGTCGAATCCCGCAGGGTCTTCCCGCAGGGAAATGGTTTGAGTTCATGGTGCTCCATTCATTTCATCGTGATTTTCCATGATTTTCCAGAGTTTGTCACAAAGTGGGTTGGCAGAAGTTGTTGATGCTTGCACAAAAGATCAACTCGTGAAGTCATTTTGCAGCGTGTGCCATCGTTTCTTCATGGAATAAGAATTTGAGATTGGATTCTTGGATGCTGTTTTGAAATCATTCAGACACATGTCCTTTCCCCAATTTCACAGGTTCTTGCGCTTGTGTTGCCACACATTGAGAGGAGGTGCGAAAGGAATGGCTTGAAGCTAGGCACGCTTCAGTCAAGACACCAAAGAATTGGGATAATTGTATATGGTATACTGATTATACCCCATAGGATTCATGTATGCTATATATGGTAACATTTACCATCAATATACCCCATGTTAGCATATATACCAGCACCATGGATCCTATGGGTACTGATTGCTTGGGCATACTGTTCGCAGTTCGCCTTTGGTGGGTGCGCAAGCTTGCCCCTTGCGCTACCGATGCAAGCCCGGAATGTGCTCGGACTGTCATCGGACTGTCATCTGTCATCGTTGTCCAAGCCCAGGAACCAACGGATGGTTTTCGTGATTGACATGCTTCGACGGCGCTTCCAATCATTGCCTGTCCCCAACAATCCCAACCGTGTTCTGCACGCCACTTGGCCGCTATGATTTGAGCCATTGTGTGCACCCACTATGCCACCATCTGGCAGGCCTGGCAAGCAGCAAACAATGAGAAAAATTAACGACCAACGCGTTCTCGACAACTTTGAACAAAACAATTTCAATCAATTTCTTAAAAAAAACGAAGAACTGTGATCTGCGAGCGCTGCTGTGCTGATCTGTTCTTTTTTGATGTCGTGCACTGTTTATTTTGTGCATTTTGCAAGGGAAACCTGCTAAATAGTTTGCGTTGCCTTGCCCAATCTTGAAATCAATTTACAAAAAAGGGACTTGGATCCCGAACAGGCAAAGGAATGCAAAGGAAAACCGAGGTTCATTGTCGAAAAAGATTTGGTACTGAGGTACTACCCTTGACTTTGTTGTTGTACATTCCGTTGTCATCATGCTTGTCTCAATTGACTTTGCATTAACCATCTTTAAGTATTCCCTTTTCTCGCTTTCACCCCAAATCCTGATGTGCACGTTTTGCCCTCCAACGTGTGCCGCCGAATCGTCAAGGCTCGAGCGGTGATTCCAGTCTTGCGCAAGTTCACAGTCGCGCGCCTTCTGGAGCCAAGTTGTGAACTTGGGCGGACTTGGGCAGAGCAACTGCGACGTCCCGATATGGAAAATGGGGATAAATGGGGCCAATCTGATGTGTATCTGATGTGTATTTGAGTTCAGAGGTATGTAGACTTATTTTAAGCGGCTTAAGCGGCTCACATTGAATGGACATGAATGGACTCGAAAATTCATGTTTCCCATTTCTCAGTAACTCCAGGATTTTCCATGGGGTTTTCGTAGTTCGAAGCCATGGCATCGATGCCATGGGCATCGCTCCATCAAAAAAGCGCCCCGCCAGGAGCTCATCCGACAGAGTCCAGCAGTTCCATCAGGCCTGAGTTTCCATAGTCATGGGGGTACCCCTTTATCGCTGGATGGTTGGTTTACAAGGGAAAATCCGATGAAAATCCTATGAATCAGCTGATGATAACTAGGGGTACTCCCATGACTATGGAAACCCCCGTACTGGATGAGAGTTTGTAGCTGACTCCTCTCACCGTGATTAGCATCAGTGACAGACCCGCCACAGCTACACACCAAATCACACCAACACAAATGCACCGAAGGATTCAAGGAGGACCTGAAGCAACTTGTGCCTTGGCTGATGACGCAAGGACAGGACATGACAGGACAAAAGTCCAGCCGTGCCCTTGGCTTGCCCCTATGCAATGGTTTGTTTGGATCACCTTTGCAATTTTCAAAAGGTATCTCGTGATGTTGATGTTGATGTTGATGCTGTTGCTGTTGCTGTTGCTGTTGCTGTTGCTGTTGATGTTGATGTTGTTGCTGTTGCTGTTGCTGTTGCTGTTGCTGTTGCTGTTGTTGTTGTTGTTGTTCTGCATGGGGGGTGCCTACCTTTGAACGAACAGCATGATGGCGGCCGTGGTCCGGGAATGTCCGGGGATTTGTATGATGTTTGCCACGGGGATCAGTATTTGTGGCTTGGAACGTCAGGGTCAGGGTTTCAGAGTGAGCTGCAGAAGGGTTTCGTGGAATCCATGGAGCAGCGCGGCGGGTACCGACGTGCTTGTTGGGTGCTGTGTGCTACGTCGTTTGTTGGGCTGCATGTCCAAGGAAACGCAGGTTGAGGTGCTGCTTTGCTGCTTGGGGTTTGCAGAGTAATGGCCTGACTAGTGACCAAAAGGATAGAAATGGTGTGGTGCTGCGATTCGTGAATCGTAAAAGGTGGTGGCAGTGGTACTGTTTTTCGCACCCAGCAGTGACTGGATAAAATGGTCCATCTGCAGTTCTGAAACTCTGCAACTTGAAGGCATGAAGAGGACCTTGACTCTTGACGATTCCTTGCAGTGTGGCTTGATGTGCGTCATCATTTTTTGATTGTTCATTGGTGAGAGCATGGGACAGCTTTCCTATCTTTCCTTATCAAAAATCAAAAAATCAAAAAACATCTAAAAGTATCTAAAAGTTCAAGATTTTCTTAAGCCCTTTTGATTTTCAAGCCGGTTACGGAAGAAAAAACATCTGCCGTTGATATCGGATCTGGACCATGTTCCACCGCTAAGGTGGATCGATCCCTTGGCCGCTGAGAAAACTGCTGGGAACTGCTGAGACCGTGAGATGCCGGATGCCAGAGCAGATTGGCTGATTCCCTTCTTTGAATGTTATAAGTTATAACATGTTATAAGTTTTATAAGTTATAAGAGTTATTTTATCAAAGAAAGTTGGGAAGCAATCTTCCGAGTTACGGACAAAGTAAAAAGTGGTGACTAGGAGAAGTGATGACTGAGAGAAACGGTCGCTTTGTAAACTGGTGACTTTGGGAAGTGGTGACTTAGGGAAGTGGTGACCATGGGAAGTGGTGACCAAGGGAAATGGTGACTTAGAGAAGTGGTGACTAAGAGAAGCGATGACTTGAAGAAGTGGTCACTTTGTGAAGTGGTGACTTGGGGACGCGGTGACTTAGGCAAGTGGTGAGTTAGAGAAGTGTTTACTTTGTGAAGTGGTAAGTTAGGGAAGCCGTAACTTACGGAAGTGGTGACGCAGGGAAGCGGTGACTTTGTGAAGTGGTGGACTTGTGCGGTGCAAAACGCCTGGTACTAGCTGCGTGAGATCTGCATGAGTGTTGCATGGGACGTGTGTTGGGGAGGATGCCGGAGCGCGAAGTATTGTGTTTCGATGTGTTTCGGATACGACGCGTCAACATGCCATGCCAAAACGACCGTCGACATGCCAAAAGGGTTGCTCCCGTCGACATGCCAAACAAGATTGTCTCCGTCAACATGCCAAAAGGTTTGTTCCCGTCGACATGCCAAACAAGTTTGTCTCCGTCAACATGCCAAAAGATTGTCCGTCGACATGCCAAAATGATGGTGTCCGTCAACATGCCAGGAATTTGTGTCCGTCGACATGCCAAAACAACGTCCTATAGCGTCACAGTCCTTAAACCCGGAAACTTCCGCCACCCGCCTCGCGCGTTCTACTTGTACAGTATTTTTTGACAAAGCTTCTATGTTGCTGACGATATATCTCGCATTCTACTGGGCAATGTCTCGCTTATGACTCCAAATTCTGCTCGCTTGTGACTCCAAAGTCATCTCGCCTGTGACTCCAAAATCATCATCAACAATATCAACAATATCAACAATATCAACAACATCAACAACACCACCACCACCACCATCATCATCATCATCATCACCATCACCATCACCATCATCATCATCATCATCATGATGACCATCATCATCAGAGCCAGAAGAAGATCTGATAGCGTGGCATCATGCCGCTGTGCAAATACAAGAGAAGATCTCATAGCGTAGCATATGTGTGGAAGCGCACGAGAAGATCTCATAGCGGTAGGCGGTAGGAAATAGTTCCTGTGCCTAGAGCCAAAGCACGTTGGCACACCCCACCACACCCCACCCCACCCCCAGACCAGAGCCAGAAGAACATCTCATAGCGTAGCATATATGTGGAAGCGCAAGAGAAGATCTCATAGATGCCAAAAAGTAGTCTGGAAAGGGAGAATAGTAAACTGTAAAAAAGAAAGTGTGCCCGTCAAAATGCCAAAAAGACGCCCCGCGATGCCAAAAAGAAGGTTGGAAAGGGAGAAAGTAAAGTGTGAACTAGTAAATGTGTCCGTTGACATGCCAAAATGACCCCGTCGACATGCCAAAATGACGCCCCGCGATGCCAAGAATAAGTAGGTTGGACAGGGAGAATAGTAAAGTGTAAAATAGTACATGTGCCCGTCGACATGCCAAAATGACGCCCCCCGATGCCAAAAAGTAGGTTGGACAGGATAATAGTAAAGTGTAAAATAGTAAATGTGCCCACGATGCCAAAAAGTAGGGTGGCAAGGGAGAAAAGTGTAAAATAGTATTGAAATAGCAAATGTGCCCATGGACATGCCAAAATGACCCCGTGGACATGCCAAAATGACGCCCCGCGATGCCAAGAAGTAGGTTGGACAGGGAGAGTAGTAAAGCGTAAAATAGTAGGTGTGCCCGTCGACATGCCAAAATGACCCCGTCGACATGCCAAAATGACGCCCCGCGATGCCAAAAAGTAGGTTGGAACGGTAGAATAGCAAAGTGTAAAATAGTAATTGTGCCCGTCGGCATGCCACAATGACCCCGTCGACATGCCAAAAAGTAGGTTGGACAGGGAGAATAGTAAAATGTAAAATAGTAGATGTGCCCGTCGACATGCCAAAATGACCCGTCGACATGCCAAAATGACGCCCCGCGATGCCAAAAAGTAGGTTGGAAAGGGAGAATAGTAAAGTGTAACATAGTAAATGTGCCAGTGGACATACCAAAACGACGTACTCGTGCCCGTCGACATGCCAAAACGATGCAAGTGTGGTGCCCGTCGACATGCCAAAATGTCGCCTGTGCCTGTCGACATGCCAAAAGCGACGCAACTGTGCTCGTCGACATGCCAAAAGGACGTGCCGCGATGGCAATTTTTTATATTGCGTTTTTTTTCTTTATTGCGGGGTGATTTTTTGACATGTCGACGCATGGTATCCTATTGTGTTTCCTCGTGTAACGTGGCTGGAGCCGGCGATGAAGGGCAGCTCCTCTGTGCGACGGTTGCGGCTGCGCTCATTTTGTCTTGTGATTGAACACCTTTTTGGTGTTCTGCAATGTGCGGTTGCAGATAGCAGTGGAATGGCTGCATTCTGGTTGCCATGTTGTGTTGCCATTTGCGTTGCTAGATGCGTGTTTGCCACTTCGCGTTGCAGATCGCAAAATGCAATGGCTACATCAAGGTTTATTGCTGCGGGGGCGGGCTGCGTGTGTAGTTCTATTGTTATTTGCGGCTATTAACTGGTAGACCGTATTGTATCGTATTGGAGTGGTTGCATCAAGGTTGTGATGGTGATTCGTCAGATTGTTTAAAGAAAATTTGGCGATGATCCATTTCTTTTTTATTTTCCTTCTAAAAAGTGCTTCAAAATCGTCTTTTTTTTCCGTGTTGGCGCCGAGGTCAGGCTTTGGAACGGCAATTTCTGTCGCCATTGCGCGTAAAAGCTTCTGTGTAAAAAACACCTCTGTGTAAAAGCTTCTGTGACATCTGTGTGTAAAAGTTTCTCCGTGTAAAGGTTTCTGTGTGCAAAAACTTGCTGTCTGCAAAAGTTGACTGTGTAAAACTTCTGTGTAAAAGTTTTTTGATGTTTTTTGTGTTAAAAAAAACTGTGTGTGAAAGCTTGCCGCGCGTTGCTGCGTGTACAAGCTTCTTTGTGTAAAAACTTGCTGCTTCTAAAAGTTTCTGTGTGTAAAAAGTTGCTGTGTGAAAAAGTTTTGTGTGTGCAAAAGCTTCTCTGTGTCAAAGTTTCTCTGTGTCAAAGCTCGCTGTGTGTTAAAAAAAATGTGTGTGTAAAAAACTTACTGTGTGTAAAAGCGTTTGTCTGCAAAAGTTTCTGTGTGTAAAATTGTCTCAAATTGTCTCTGTGTACAAGCGTGTTTGCGTAAAACCTCGCAGTGTGTAAAAGTTTTTCTGTGTAAAAGCTTCTCTGTGCAAGCTTTGTAGTACAAAGTAGTACTGGGAGTCGCTTCGTCGTGCAAGCTTTGTAGCAAAAAGTGGTACAGGGAAGTACTTTGTGCAAGCTTTGTAGTACAAAGTAGTACTGGGAAGTGTTTGTGCGAGCTTTGTAGTACAAAGTAGTACTGGGAAGTACTTTGTGCAAGCTTTGCAGTACGAAGTGGTACTGGAAAAGGTTGGTGCAAGCTTTGTAGTACGAAGCAGTGCTGGGAAGTGCTTTGTGTGCAAGTTTTGTAGTACGAAGTAGTACTGGGAAGTGCTTTGTGCAAGCTTTGCAGTACGAAGTGGTACTGGAAAGTGTTGGTGCAAGCTTTGTAGTACGAAGTAGTCCTGGGAAGTGCTTTGTGCAAGTTTTGTAGTGCAGAGTAGTACTGGGAAGTACTTTGGCCAAGCTTTGTGGTACGAAGTAGTTATGGGAAGAGCTTCCATGCGATGAGAAAGGTTGAGCAATGCATAGCTATGAGCTGAGGCGAGGTGAGAAGAGCTCAGATGAGATGAGATGAAGTGTGGAGTGTAAAGTGTGGAGTTTCAAGTGTGACCATTGGAACGCAAAGTGTCACCTGGCTTTGCAGTGCAACGTGGTCGTGTGCGGGTCCTGACCTTTGACAACAACAGCGCAGCAGATTCGTACAAAGCACGCACGCACGGGCCTGGCTGGCGCACGGCGCATGAAAAATATAGGTATGGATGTATGCTGAAAGCTTAAATGGCAGGTAAAACACGGATCATGGAGCCATATGGGGTTGTACACTCTATAGGCGGGCGGGCAGTGTCCCAATGAGTATATAACTATAACGTTAAAAAGGTTATGATACAATCATTTATAGGCATATACTTGTTGATTATATTCTCATTCTATGCTGTGGCATAGATTTGCGCAAGCGGGGTATGGTGATGGGTGCAGCCAGTCTCATCTCTGGCTAGCCGCCCTGCTTCGTAGTTGGCCCAAGTTATGCTTGTGCCCAGTCATCCAATCAAAGCATGTGTAAATGATGATCATCAGTCACGTTGATATCACTGTCTACATTGCATATTTCTACATTGATATCAATGATTATTCAGGTGTCAAGGTGTCACAGTGTGAATATGCAAAGGTGTTAATGTCATGTCGTGTCACAGTGGGACGTGATCCCAGGATAGACTCTGGGTTCATACTGTATCATCCTCACTGGGACGTCTGCTCCTCCGATTGACCGACCTAGCACGAACATATGAGGTGTGTTTGCCTACTGGGCTTTGTGTGCTTGGGTTGGTGAATCAGGCAGGTTCCAGGTAGATGTTGTTTTTTGTGGAGATTCAAAGTCTTGAGAACAATGAGAGGTTCTCAGTGTTTACTTGTTTTTGCCTAAAAACTATGGATCTTGATGTCAAACACTCCTGAAACTCCTACAATTCCTGATTTGGAAAACTGTTTGAATGTCCATGGTATTTTTAGGTGTCTGGGGATTGTTGTGAGCAATCTGAAAACGACCCATGAAATCGCAGGAAATTACCCGCAAACCCACCACAAATTCCGCAAACATCTGGCACATATCCGCAAATCCAGAAAGACGGGAAGCGGACAAGTTCAGATTTTCCAGGTTTGGAGATGGCCACACTTGGTAATGTCACGCTGTAACATGGCAAGAAAACTGAAACTCTTGAAATCGTTGAAAAGTGGAAAATCTTGAATCTTTCCAAGAGAATGAGTCTCCAGCTGGCAATGTCAGTTGCGGTCTTCAACCGATTGCGAGGCCAACAGCTTGGACCTGCATGCGAAATCGATTCTTGACAATCCACTGACTCGCTCATGTCTTGCTTGGTGCAATTTTCAAGTAACATCCAGGGAATTTCCAAAGTTGGGAGTATTATTCATAAAATTCAGGTATAGTCAGGTGTATTCAGAAGGACACACAAAATATTGTATAGTATGTTCTGACAATGAGCAGTCCACTGTGTTTTCTTCGGATTGTCAAGATGTATTCAGAAGATGTTTAGACGGATCTCGCTCCAGATCGTAATAAATCCATGCCGCCCACGCCCGAACATGGCCTTGGACGCCCCGGGTGCTACATCTGAGTTCTTCCAAAAAAACCTTTGAAAAGAAAGGAAATTTGCCGCCAAACTTTCGCACGCCCAGACTAAAGCAAGAATTGAGTATTGAGTATCTTTTTTGCCGCTGCAGTCCCTTCATGCATTATCATTGCGAGTCATAGCGTATGAACCAGGTGCCCTGACTGAAACCATGGCCAAGGTGGGAATATGCGAAGCCCATTGAAGCCCCCTTCCTACAATCCTTGCCATCCTTGAGATGATTTTATGCGCTCGCGGGAAACCTGCATGTGCCTGTGTTGGGCTGAGTCTGGCGGATGCGAACGGTCTGAAGTACGGAGTCCAACGACTCCGAGCAGAGTTTGTACCATGTCACGCTTATACTGTTTTGCTTGCGCACCGAATGCCGAAAGTACAAATGACATGGCGCACATGCAACAAAGTTATTTTTGTCCTCGGAAAGGTTGTAATATTATAGTGACCTTGTGCGAGGCCAGTAGGCTAGTGGCAGATGATAGCGTGGTATTTCGATTCTGCTCGGTAGGCTGAACCACCGACGAAATGGTCTTGGACAAGACCCAGGCAGTCCATCCAGGCTTCGCGATCTTGGCAATTGTCGTTGGATGAACGCAAGTGTCTCTTCCACGGGCTTGCTACATGTGCGTTTGCAGTGACGTCACGGATCTTATTTTTATTGCATGGCCATGTTGTGCAAGAGCGCTGAGTAGCTAAGTGCCCACAGTTGAAAATGCCGAAACTTCGGCATTCTTGTAGACTTTCGATGACTTTCGCAGTTCGCAGTGGCTTTGACAGAAGCAGAAAACAGAGTGGGAACATGTTGAAACAACACCGGATCATGGACGTGATGGTAACTGCAACCCTCCATCCTCATGTTACAAAGACAACGCATTGGTTGGAAGATGTTGGAAGTAGTCGGATTTAATCAGTCGAATATGCATTGATGGCTCCCCATTTCTTGCAGACAGTCTGTACCTTCCCAGACATTCGCATAGCCCAGATGATGGTGAAACACACGTTCAAGTTCAACCTGCTTAGATTTGGAAGTGTCAAATTCAGCTACCTGAAGAAAAGATCTGGATCCAATGATTCCAATGCAGAGTGACGATTATTGACGAACTGTGGTTTGCTCAGAGAATAAGAACAGTCAAAGGGGCCAACAGGGTCACAGGTGCCATTTTGGGGTATGGATGTATGGTTTATCAGCCAAAACATGGAGCCATATGGGGTTGTACACTCTATAGGCGGGCCGACCTTGGTGTCCTAGTGTGTATATTACTATAACGTTATACAGGGTATTTCAAATTCATGCTGTGGCATAGCCTTGCGCAAGCGGGGTATGGTGATGGGTGCAGCCAACAAATAAAAGTACAATACAATACAGAAGTTTAAGGAACAAAAACCATTGAATAAAAGAATGGAAGAAACAAAGTCAAAGAACTAGAAACAGACATACTTTATCAATTTTGAAGTCTTCACCCTCAGAAAGCCAGTGAATGAAAAAATAACTCAATCTTTTAAATACCTTAAACAACCTTATTACATTGATGGCTTTAATATTGGAACTGCTACAATCACTGTGCCTAGTTTTCCCAGGGACATTATAGGACAAAGAATGTTTAGGCTTGAAACTTTAGAAGACCAATATGAGGGAAAGATAAATCCAAGATTTACTGAAGTAATGGCTCATTTAAAGAATGATACAGAATTTGATGAACTAATCAAAACCTTACAAATGCATTACCAAGATAATATGTTTCATTGTATCAAGATTACATCAGTAGAATTTGTCAATAAGAAGGGCGAAAAATCAATATACTCAGTGACCACTTAACTGATGCTATTGATGTATCAATAAACCATTATTATATACATACACCTTAGAAAATGGAAGCATCAACCATTAAGAAAGCAATTGAGAAAAGGTATTAAATAGAGAGTACGTGTTGGGTAAATGCCCTTACTGATTTTTACAAGGATACACTTATGAATGAGAAAACCAGAAAGAGATTGACAGTTGAAAGGATTGTTGAAATTCTAGGTAGAAATGTTTTTTTTTTAGGAGCATCCGTTCAGGAAATGGAAAAGTAATTTTTGGAATTCAGTATCCAAGTTAGAATCTGCAATTATTTAAATGCCTCAGTGTATAAGTATGACCCACCCAAAAGAAATCACCATATCAAGACCTTCTACGCTTTAGTTCAAAATAATCATATTTATGTTTTAAATCACGACCTCAAACGTATTCAACAAAAGCAAGGAAGTAAAATAGCAACTGTTAAGTCATCCACTGACTACTATATAAGTAATCAAGAAGACCCCCCAAATTTTAAGATGATAAATAATGTAGATGGTTTACTTAAAAATTGAAATCGGAGAAGATATAAAACACATAGAATTAATTGCTGAAGATAATAATTTAACTGAATTGTTTTTTTCAACTGCTTACTCATGGGGATGAACTAAAATAAAGTTTCAAGCAGGTATTATAACAGAAATCATAATGAAATTATTGAAACACAAAATCTAGTTGACACTAGAAAGAAATGTGAAAACTCAGACAACAGCGCACGCTCACAGTGACCAGCTCTCTATTGAAAACAGGTTAAGGATGAATGATGAATGATGATGAAGACGATGGTGATGATAAATGAGGAATGATGAATGATGAATGATGAATAACGAATATGATGATGATGATGATGATGATGATAAGGAGGATGAGGATGACGATGAGGATGAAGATGATGGTGATGATGACGATACGATGACGAGGACGAGGACGATGACGACGATGATGACGTGTGCTCGCCATGTCACAGAAAGGAAGCACCCCTGAGGCCGGGCCAGCATTCGCCACGGGCAAAGCAGCTGCTTGCCACCTGGACATTGGCTGAGGGAACACGAGAGGCGCCGCGGCTGCTGGATGGCAGGTTCATTTTCACCCATGGTGCATTGATGTATTATATGTTGTTATTTTTGAATATGGTACTGTAGAGTTATTGCCCGATCTCCGTTTGATAAGGCTTTATGATTTAAGACGATGAATTTGATCAGAACTGATTGTTTCTCGGGGATATTGGACAGTTTCGGTTGCTCCATGAATGTCGAATAGAAATCGCATGGTTTTCTCCACCCATGCCTCAGCGATTTGTTGGCGCCCTGGATCAAAGAGAGCTGGGACGGCGACGGTGTCAAGCTTTACGCGGTGAAGAACCATGGAGAGCCTTTGCTATATTCAAAGACCTTTATTGATATTGAGGAGGTCAATGAATCATCGGCAGCGCAGCGAACATGCAGTGCTCCGCCAGTGACTCTCAGCTTGAGAATTCATGTGGTGCTTTAGTGATTTCACTATTGGAGCAACCCGTAGCCAAATGACTTCTCGCAATTTCTTAATTCTCAGTTGGTCATAAAAATTGGTTCTGAGTCTCTGCCACCTTTTTTTCTCTGGTACTTTTCCAGACATTTAGGCAGTTTGCATGTTATATTTGCGGTAAGTGTAGGAGAGATTACCACTTGTTTCCGGAAAGAGGCGGCTCTGAAATCTCAGGATGGCTACCTCCCTGGAGAACACTGCAAGCAAGTTTGTCCTTCATAAATTCGAAGAGCGCAGGAGCAGTCTGCAGGCCATTGATTTTTTCGGGGACCCAGGCGGCCATTGCGATCATCAAAAATGGCTGGAAAATTCCCCATTGAGGTTGATGATTTTCCGAATAGACCTTGATACAGTAGATATTTTGAGGGGATTTCCCATTCCCATGGTTGAAACAAGGTATGTGTATATTTAGAACAGTCCTCACTGCTAGCAGTTGGACGTCGTTTTATGCACCGGCGTGGTTTTGGGGGTCAAGCTGGAAACCCCCCCCTCATCTTGCGGGATTCCCTTGGGTGGGGGGGTAGTTGTACCACCTGCGGGTGTGGAGACGGAAAGCCACCCGTGGGTGTGAGAGGCCTGGTGATGGCCACAATGGCAGGACCGTGGATTTTTCCGCGGGACAACGAGGCCTACTTCAAGGAGGTGGAGTTCCAAAAAGGGCAGCTGGTAGAGTGCCAGCTGTACGATGACAGTGGGGCCTTGCAAGGCCATGGCCTCTGGGATATAAGGGAGCAACTGGAGAAGCGCAAGGAGGGAATTTGGACCCGTGCGCGCTTAGTTGCGGTGAGTGACCCGCACTTGAAATGGTGGCTTGATGAGGGGCTTGGCGCCCAGCAAGGGAGGCAATTTAACCTGCACCTTTGCAGCAGTGAAGCAAGACAATGCCGTAAGAAGCGGAGATCGCCTGAGCTAGAGTTCCACACCGACTACTTCCGGTGCTTGGGTGCGGGGGCACTGACTGAGAAAAAGTTGGTGTGGTTTAAGGACGATGCAGCCAAGGCAGACGTGCAAGCTGAGATATCACGCCTTGCGGGGCAGAAAGTAAAGAAGAAAGGGGAACGCCCAAGAGCTGCAGGACAGCCACTTGCGTTCTCGGAATCCGAGATGGACGAGGGAAGCTCGGCACTGGCGGTCGCTCCACCCGAGGGTGAGGAAGTGGGCGAGAGATTGAAAGAACTTCGAAAGGAAGTTGGTAAGGCGAAAGAAGGAAAGAAGAAAAAAGACAAAAGTGGGGGCTCCAAGAAGCGTAAGCCCCACAAAAAGGATCGGGGGAGTCCCGCTGCGGCGGCGGATCAACCCTTGTGGTTTGGACAGAAAAAGCAGCCTGAGCAGCACGACAGCTCAGATGACTCTGCTGACTCCTCCGATTCCTCCAGTGATCGCCAAGGTGCCAGGCCACGAAAGGATGAGAAGAAGAAGGAGCGCAAAAGGGCGCGTAGGAAACGAAAAAGAGACAAGGGGGCCGAGGACAGAGGTCCTTTCGGAGCAGGTGCCAAAGTGAAGTTCGCCAGATCAGAGGCCACCTCGATAAGTTCGGGAGATGATGATGAGACAGGCCAGTCTTTTCAGGCGGCCCCCTCCGGAAAGTCCAGACAGCTTCAGCTTAAGAGTACGCAGAGAAGCACCCGGGACGGCTGGCAAGTCGTCTGTTGATGAAGATGAGGGTGCTGTTGGCTCGCGAGGAGGGGGGCCTTGAACCGAGAAAGCGAGCCAAGCGATCTCACTCCGTCGACAGCAACCAGCTACTTCCTGACGGTGATGCTGCCTCTCCATCGGGAACGTCTCAATCTTCGGGTTCAACGGGAGATGAGAACTGTGGCGAAGAGCCTCGACTTGATAGCCATGGGAGAGCCTCAGAGAGCGGCGGACGTGTTGGCTCAACGCCTAAAAGCGCTGGAGCTGATGGTCAACGATCAGAGTTGGGGTCGTGCAGCCCACGTAGAACTCCTTCCGGCCGAAGGAGCCACCCTGGCAGAGCCGGACGAGAGTTGGGTCGCAACAAGAGAGCACGTCTTCGAGAACAAGCTCCGTCAGTGGAAAGGCAAGGGCATCGGGAAGGAGACGGAAGGAAAGGGGAAGGCCCGAGACGAAAAGGGCAAAGGAAAGAAAGGCCAGAAGTGGAGCAACAGAACGTCTTGGGGAGCAGCCCCCGCTGAGGCGGAGCAAGGGTCGAAGTGAGGACGAAGGACTCACTGGATGAGTCCTCAGACATGGAAGAACCAGTAACAGACTCGGAGGATGAGGCTGCCATCATTCCTGCCCCCGAAGAGATGGCTCAGATACCCGAGGAGGCAACTGAACCCGGCCTGCGGGCTTGTAGATCGTGGCAAGAGTTATCTGACCTTTCAGTGGTTGGCTTCAAAAGTGGTCTCACATTTACCGACATGGGAAGGCACTTGTTGAAGGTGGTCAGCAAGTCTCCAACGCCTCTGGGCCGTTTTTATCGGTCATGGTGTTTGCCCACACAACCCACTCCGGGCGCGGAGCCCACACATCAGAGGCGGGGAGATGTTCTTCCGATCCCACCTTGGTTGGTCACGCAGGAGATAGGTGGCGTGGACGACAACAATGTGTACTGGGTTCGTCCGGTCGTGGTGACCCTGAACTTCAACTATACTGTGCAGGTTGGGGCAAGCAGATAGCGGTGCCTTTTGAGCCAATGCTGACGGCTAACCAAGTGAAGGCCATCAAGTCGCTGGCAAGTATGGTGACGGCCAACGTAGTCTCTGCTGACCCTCTGGGCTCATTGGGGCAGGCGAGAGAACTGTTGGCTTCCAAGCGTTACGATTACGCAGGGGCTCCAATCGAGTACATGGAGGATCTCATCGCTGAGAAAGTGGCGCCTGCCTGGCTGCGGCCAAGTGAAGCGGGCGTCCAGCCAATCGAGCGGTATCTGTCTGCAGAAACGGCCGATACGTTCTCAAGTACCCTGACAGGTTGCTTTTACCCCCTGGCAAAATGTTAGAAAAAGCCCCCCGCTCACGAGTGCGCGCCTCAGACGAGGAATGGTTCAAAATCTGCAAAATGGGCCATGAACGGGGGATGATGAAGGTAGTGATCGATGACCTCATCCCGCGGGGTAGAAAAGGTCATCTGATTACCAGCGGGGCAGGCGCGGTCAAAAAAGAAAAATCATCAATGGTGAGCGCGTCATGTGTCAGAGGTTCATCAGCATCCTCTGCCCACTGAATGCGGCAACTATACCCTTGAAAGGCGCCCAAGATACGTTGCGCTTCATTGGCACCATGACTTCCTTCCAATTGGAAGAGGAGCAAATCGCATACATGGAGAGCGAAGACCTTCAGTCCGCTTTCAACTTGTTTGCGGCGCCAAACCAGTGGTTGCCGTACTTTGCGTATTCCAAGAAGGTTGAGTCTGCCGCTTTCGGCATGGAGCCTGGCACGATGGTGAGGCCGGCTTTGGCAGTCATCCCCATGGGATGGCACTCGGCGGTGGGCCTGGTGCAAGAAGCAGTGCGAACCTTAGTCTTCGAGAGGTCGAAGGTTCCGAGGTCACTCCCTGTGGAGAAGGGAAAGCCTCTTCCGGCCAGTGACAGCAAGGTCATTGTGTACCTTGACAGCTTTGATGAGGTGCATGTCGTGAGCCGGCTGTCTGAAGACTTTGCCAAAGAAGGTGAGGCAATGTCGGAGTATCACAAAAGATTTGTGGAGGTGTGTGATGAAGATGGACTTCCTCGCAACGCGGGTAAACAGCTCATCCATGCCTATGCTGGGGGGTTACAAGGCGGGCTGTTGGACGGCCTTCGAGGGGTCTTGAAGGCGGCCCCAGACAAGTTACAGAACTTCCTCAGGATCAGCCTGGCCCTCCTTGCGGGGAAGAAATGGTCAGAATAATATCATCTCAGGCATTGGACAACAAAAGCTGCCTTCATTGCAGCTTTCAAGAGGTTCATCTTTTCGAACCTTTTTGAAGTATTCCCTCTGATAGAGCAGTCTCGCTGCGGCGACGTAGCACCGACAAGTGGGTGCATCGATGAGATACTGTGCATGTGCGCTCTGAGCACAATTGCACAATCAAACCTCAGGGCTCCCCTGTGTGAAGAAGTTAGCTGCACCGACGCATCACCGACGGGGGGAGCATCGGCGGTAGCTAAGAAGTTCAAATGTTTTTACCTTCAGGTTCCTGACGCACAGGAGGACGAAGGCCGTTGCGCCTGGTGTGAGGAAGAGCTTGAGGTAGGGCAGACGACCTACCCTTGCAGCAGGAAGTGCGGCCTGCGGGCCTGTTCTCCCATGTGCGCTTTCTCGCATGGGGAAGGCAACTGCGTGAGGCGGGACCTTGATTCGCCGTCCTTCGGTGAGAGGTTCGCGGGGCCAAATTTTCCCCTCACGCAGGCGGTTGCGTTGGAAGGCATTGCCATTCAACCACCGCTTGACCTGAAGATTGCCTCTTATGAATGGGACTTCTTCTCGGAGTCCGGCAAACGAAAATTGGACGCCATGGAGAATGATTCCAGCCTGGCTGCAAGCCATTGTGCACCGGAATGCAAGACCTACTCCCGTGCCAGAGG